AAAAAAAAAAAAAAAAGAAAAAAAGGCTATGTTTACCCATCCTGAAAGTTCTTCACATTTTGTGGTAAGTCAGCCATTGCACTTTCTCTCAGAGCTCTTGGTGTTTGTCAAAACCAATCTCAAATGAGCTGCTGATAGACAAATAATTAAAAAGTGAAGTAGTAAAAATATTTCCAAAAACTTTTCATTGCAATAACTGTGTTGCCTCTGGGGTCCTGGTTCATTTCGTTGGTTGTGGTGGGATTGAGTAGGTGAGACTTTTCAATCTTGGGGTCTTGTAGGCTGAAATATCCCTGGCTAGGGCCAGGTGGGGTGAAGATAGGCTCATCTTAAGTCCACGTGGTAGGATGGGCCGAGGGCCTCTTGTTCTCTCTAGAACAATATGGCAGGACCCCGCCCCTCCTTTGTCTATGGTTTGAGGTTTGTTTATTCATTTACGTTTTAAATTGGAGCTTCCATTTTTAGGAAGACCATGTAGAGAATGGATTGGAGGGACAGGAAAACTGCTAGGATGTGTCCCGCCAGTCGGTACCAGGAAGTTGTGCAGGGGGCAAGGGCACACAGAAAGACTTGGTCCTGGCCCTAGTAGTGGCCACACTGCCACACTGCATGTCGGTCCAGTTGATGTGGCTAGCCTGAGTGAGCTTTAGCCCCACTCCCACCACATCAGAACCCTCCCTGCCCAGGGAAGAGGCTGTCCCATGGGAATGCCTACCTTGCCCAGTCCCTTGGCCATTTGGTGTTGGGGGTACAAAGCAGTCAGACAAAATCAGTTGGTCAGAGACGTGAGGAGTGTAGGGAATTTTTCTAAGACCAATAGCTGATTCTCCGGTATTCCAGACTCCCACTAGGTGCCCTGCAATTCTGTTCTTTTCTTTCACTGATTAGTTACCTGGAGTTAGCACAGACCTCACAGGTTCGAGCCTTAGTCCCACAAGACTGCCTCCTCCCAGTGTCACAAGCTGGTTGAAAGTCCTGGACCTCCCATATTATTGGCCAACCAGCTATCAATTAGGGGTCCATGACCCCCTCCTAAAGTTTGATAATTCGCTAGAGCAGCTCACAAAACTCAGGAAAACACGTGTGTTCACTGTTATCATAAAGGATGTGACTCCAGCATAGCTGAATAGAAGAGCTACATGAAGCCTGGGGGTGGGGTAGGGTGGGGTGGGGGTGGATGTAGGGAGTTGTAGGGTTTCTGTGCCCTCCCCAGGTCCACCACCTGCACACCTGTCTAAAGGAGAGCTGCGGCAGTCTCCCACACACCCTTGGAGATTGGCTGGGGAGCCTGAGGCTAAGTCACCTCATTAGTATGTGCTCTAATGGGGTCCTAAGGGGTCCTTCATGGATGATAAAGACATTCCTGTCACTCAGGAAGTTCTCCTGGCTGCTGGCCTTTCTCTTGCAGCTCATTTGGGGTCATTGTTTCTGCATTTGGAGTCAGTGAAGGGTCTGAGAGAAAACACTGTGCCAGTGAGTTTTGTCCTGTGACAAAAAGGTTTTAGGAGCTTTTTGATGGGAACAAAGACAAAATATAAGAGTCAGGCAGGTAGGGTAGCTCTGGGGACAGGTGGAAGGGCCACTGCTCCAGATGCAGGCCCACTGGCTGTGAGGAGGGGGCCCTGTAGGGGTCTGAGGGCAGAGAAGCCTGGCAGATGTAGGGCAGGAGGTGAGGCCATGTGGAGTATGTGGCCGGGGGTCCAGACCAGATGAGAGATGGCTGAAGGAAGGTCAGAGAAGGGTTGGGGTGGAGAGTGGGGTCCATGTAGGTATTTTGGATTTTATTGACACTGCTATTATCATCATCATCTTTATCACCATATGATTGTATCTTCATTAACTGTCCATTGTAGACCAGGACTAGGAAATAATAAAAATAAAATAATTTTGTCAGAGA